GTGCTGGCTGCTGTGCACGTGTTGTTCCTCAAGGCCCCCACGTTATAGATGAGAAAGCATACCCCGAAGCTGAGTGACATGTTCTAGGCCACACAGAACCAGGACCCAGCAGCCATACTCCAAAGCCTGTGCTTCAGACCACTGCTCTATGCTCCCTCCCTAGTGGGTCCCTGAGGGAGGACGGAGTGGGAAAGGGACAGAGACGGGGCTCTGAAGGTGTCCCAGTGGAGACAGAGGGACACTGGGCAGACTGCCCTGTGCCCCCTCCATGCCATGGCTGCCTGCCAGTCTGTAGGGCTGTGGCTTACTTGACATCCTGGCTGATCTGCCTCTCCAGGCGCTGCCTCCGCTCCTCCAGCTGCTCAATGGGGCTCTCCTCCGGAAACTCGTATGGGGCGCTGCGGAGCTCACTCTCAGCCAGGGAGCGGCTGAACAGCTCCTGGTGGGAGGGAAGGCAGGGTCAGTGTGCCAGGCCCTCCCTTGCAGCATCTAGGGCTGGGGTGAGCGCAGCAGGAGCTGGAGGTACCTGGGGGAGGCTAGGGGTCAGAGCACAGCCAAGCGTGGAGTAAGGGGATGGCTGAGATGGAGGGGTGTGGGGAGCAGAGACAGGACATGGGGACAGCAGTGGAGGGACACAGAGTGCGGTGCCAGGTGATACCTCGGCGATCTCCTTGCATTTGCCATCCATGGACGTGCGCAGGTCAAGTGGGAAGTGCTTGAGGCAGGGGGCAGGGCCTGGCAGGGATCGGGCCGACTGCAGCGGAGGGGCCCCCAGCCCACCCCGAGCCTCTGTGGAGACAGCGATGCCAGGGTCAAAGGGTGGAGGGCAGGGCCTGGGTGCACTAGAAGCCCAGGGCCCCCACGCGCCCCAGGCCTGTCCCAGAGAGAGGCCAGATCCTGCAAAGTGGGCCGTGCCTCCTCAGAGGCCAAGGAGTGAGCCTGCCTGTGGCTCCCAGAGGACCTCACCTTCACCTTCTGGCACGGGGCCCCTCACCCATTCCAGGCTCAGGCGTGGGGGTTCCTGAGGCAGCCTCTAGAGCTAGAGGATTCACTCACTCCGGGAGTAAGAATCCGAATTCTTCACTACGAAGTGCTGCCTCAGTGAGCAGGCGACCTCCTACAGGCAGGCACACACGTACACGCATGCTCACGCTCACACACACACACACACACACACACACACCGCGTGCTCATGAAGGACCGAGTGGCCGAGCCAGCAATCCCCAGTCCACAGCTCCCAGGGCAGGCAGGCCGGCCCTGATCAGACCTGCTTCTGGACCCAATGACCCTCCTCCCAGAAACCCAGGTCCTGTGCCCGACATCCCAGACCTACAGAGCACAGGCAACATACAGCTGCCACTCAGCTCTGACCTGGGCACCAGAACCCAAGGGAAGAGGATAGGAAGTGGAGGGCCTGGCTGGCAGCAGGAACCCTACCTCCTCCCCAGGGGCGTGCCCTCTCCCCCAGGACCCTGGGGCTGCCAAGATGCAGCCTGGCCCCAGCTGGCCCCTCCCACTGCTGGCTGCCCCTCCAAAGGGAGCTGCCACAAACAGTCTGCGCCACTCAGAGGCCCCAGGATCTGGGCCGGAGGCCCCAGGGAGGGCCCGGGGAAGGGAGGATCAGAAGCCAGGGCCTCTCCACATGGAAGGCTGAACTCTTCAGCTGCACCACCAGGACACAGGCACTAAAGGCCCTGAAGCTGCTAGTCTGGGGGCTGCCTGAGCTCCCAGGCAACTCGGACCTTCCCTGGCCTACCAGCCCACCCTCCCTCCCCCCGCGAAGCTCTCCACACCAAACTCGGCTCTCCCAGCCTGCTCGGAAGGGGACTGCCGTCCAGCACCCTCCTTTCCCCATCTTAGGGATGGATTGGAGGCTCTGCCCAGGTAGCATGCCTTTAAGTCTGTGGGCTCACTTCACGATCCTCCAGAGTTGGGTCCAGAGGCTGGACAAAGGGAAGCAGAGGTACCTGCCCTAGAACCAGGACCCAGCCCCCGCTCTCCCTGGTGCCACCCTGGGTCCTACCTACAGAGTTCGGGCAGCTCCAGCCAGCAGCCCTGGGCCCCTCGCCCGCCGCTTTGCTGAGTGGAGCAGTAGCCAGTCCCCCAGGACAGCTCAGGGGCCGGCACGGGCTGTACCAAGTGCTGCTGCATGCAGGGGAGACCCTAGGATGACAGAGAGCAGGGGGCTAGGGAGGCCCAGGGGAGCCAGAAATCAAGGGAAGGAGCATCAGAGTTGGGAAATAAAAGCAAGCTCAGAAAGGAACAGCTTTAACCTATACGGTAAAAAGGGCCAGTAAAAAGGCCTGGCCTACAGGGGAGCCCCCAGGGGGGCGCAGCAGGGTAGGCTGATACAGGGAGGGCCGGGGCTGAGCCTCCCATCCTCTGGAACAGTGAGCAGGTAGGGTCAGGGCGACCCAGGGGTAGGCGGGGAGAAGGGGAGGTCAGCAGCCCTCATCTCTGCACATAACAGCCCCAGGCCAGCTTGTTTTGCTCACCAGTGTCCCCTGCGTCCCTGTCTGTGGGGTCCCCGGGGACAGACAAAGCCTCTTCCAGGGAGAGAAGCTGGCAGGCAGTGAGGGAAGTGACTCAGTCCAGGTAGGGACCAGGTACTGAGTTTCTCTGCTGCCCATGGGGCCTGACCCATGGCTCCCCAGACCTCCAGTCTCCTTTCGAAGCCTATCATTGGGAACAAACTGTCCAGGAGGAAAAGTGTGGGAGATAAAGGACTAGAATCTGGAGGACTTGAGTCTGACTCAGTTCCCACTTACTAGCCTGTCTCTGCCTCCCGGAGGCTTCAAGTCCTGTCTATAAAGGGGCGATAAGCAGAGCCAGCCCCATCTATACCCACCAACCGCCTTAAGGCGCACAGAGATACGGCTCTGCAAGTGTTGTGTAAAACACCATTATCTGCGATTATGAACTCCTGGGACCCTCCAAAACACCTACCACATAGAGTCCAACCTACCAGGGAGGCCTACTCAGGCCCAGTGCGGGCCAGCACAACCAAACCGTGAAGGACAGGAAAGAGAACGGAACTTGATGGGAGAAGAGATTGGGGGGAGGGAGGGGGACACTATCTAGTCCTTGGAAGAGGGCAGAGTAGGAAGAGGAAAGAAAGATGGGCACTTGCTCCATACCCAGAGTATAAGAGCCCCAGGTCCTTGCCTGCCCAAGAACCCTGACCTTACACAACTCCTCCCTCCTAGCCCCCAGCAGGAGAGGCCGCCCACAGACCTCCAGGGCAGCAGGAGCTGAACTGAAGGTCCTAATCTCACCCTCCCGTCTGAGCAGGGTGGCCCAGGATGTCAACAGAAACACTGGGGTGACGAGGACAGGTTCCAGAGGCCAGAACCCTTCCTCCAGGCTGTAGGTCTCCGCACAGGGTTCACTAGAGGTGAGAGGCTCCATGCTCCCTGAGCCCAGGCCTAGAAGACCCAGCTTCCTGCCTGCTGGTCCCTTCCCCAGAGCCTGTGCACTGCAACACACACACACACACACACACACACACACACACACACACACGTAGTCCACCAAAAGCCAGAGGGAACTGCTCCCACCAACCAAGATCTTGCCTCCTCATCTACCCTCTGGCCAGGAGTCCCTCACTCCCTGCCAGGACTGCCTCAGTCGAGAGGCAGAGACATGCCCAAGGCTTCAACCCCTAAGTCTCAGATGCTCCCACTGAGTGACCACCCAAAGATTATAGATCTAGCCCCAGGGGACACACTCTCTGGAGGGCCCAGACCTAGGCACGGAAAACACAGACCCTCAGAACAGCCCTGACCTCTGGGCAGGATTTTCAATGGCATAAGAAAATACAGGAGATGGATGGGCAGGCTATAGGTACAGATAGCTGCTGAGGGGAACGGGGGGAAGACGCTGGCTTGACCTGGTCACCAAAATGGGGGGTGGAGATGTCCTTCCTTAGCCACAAAGCCTGGGGGCAGCAGATGATAGGTAGATATCCCTCAGCTAGCAGACTCAGGCAGACTCAGGGGATGGACACAGCCACACCATGCTGCCTGCTCCGAATGGTGCAGAGATGCCTCCCAAAGCGGGAGCCAAACCAAAGGGTGCAGGAGCACACAAGCAGGCAGTGGCCCCAGCCCGAGCCCCCGAAACAGTCCTGGCCCAAGGACACCCCGTACTTCTGAGGAAGTCCACAGAAAAACCAGGAATGGGCCAACAGCAAATGATGGATATGGTTGAGCCCCCAGCCCCCAGGATGCCCAGTAGCGACGAGTGCGTCCTAATATCAGAGCCCCCTCCCTAGGAAGGGGATTCCAGATCTAGGGTCCTAGAAAGAAGAACTAAGCACTAAGCCCGAGCCTGCCGGGTAAAGACACAGCCGCCAGCAGTGTGGCCAGCCCACAAAGCAGCCAGTCCCACACATCTCCCTCTCCATTCACACACGCTCCACATGCACACGGTCTTAGCACATCCGCACGCTGACACGTGTGCAAACACACCTCTTGCTGCACCCACACCTGCACCCACTCCTTGTTACGGAGGGCAGCACCCCCAACACAGAAGCTGTCACCTTCCACTCCACCTTCCAAGCCAGCTGTCCCTGGGACGGAGGACAAGGAGGGGCATCACCCCAGAGGGGGTGCAGGTGCAGCCCCTCCCACACACACATACAGGACCAGTGGCCTGGGCTAGCGGTGGTCGGGTAGAGCCCGCGCCCTAGGCTAGGAAGCCCACACTCACCTGGTACTGCAGAGGAGACCTGCAAGCTGACCCGCTTCTTAAAGGGATATTTGGCCTTGGGATTGCCGGGGCCAGATGGGTTGGATGCCATGGCTCCAGCCGCGGAGATGGCGGGGGTTCTCCGAGCCGCTCCAGCTGGGCCCGGCTCTGCCACATCCAACCCCTTCCTCCGCCCCGCCCCCAGCGGGAGTGACTGATGCAGGAAGCAGAAGCCCCGCAGGCGGAAGAGGCCCTGGCCACGATTTCTGATGTTGTCTAGGCAACCTCAGGGAGGGGGGCCTCCATCCCCGCCTCTTATCCCCTCCCTTCCCTCCTCAGACCCCGGAGTGACGCGACTGCTGCTAGCTGGGCCTGGGGGGCGGAGGTGGAGGGTGGAGGTTAGCAAACAAGATGGGGAAGGGCCAGCCCCCAGCACTCCACTGACCCCTTCGAAAGCCCTTGCCCCTTGCCAGGGCTCTGGGGCACAGGAGTCAAAGTCCGGGCTAACTGGTCCAGCCAGCATAGGAGAAAAAAATAATAATAAACAGAAATCCAGCCCGAGCTCCCCCAAACTCAGAACACACTGTCTCAGAGCAAGCGTTCTCCGTGAAAACCCAGCCCCTCTGGGGCACAGTCCCTTTTCCTCTTCTCTATCAGACTCCCAGCCCCAGGGGTAGTCCAGCTCTGGGAGGATGGGAGTAGAATGAGAATCCCGGCCCAGCAGGGAGGAGCCTGTCTTGGGAAAATTCCACTGGCCGGCAGAAGCTACCTTCTAGGACGGCAGGGAGGCCAGGAGGCAGGGGCTTCTGGTGGGGGGTGGGGGGCGGCGGCTAGGAAAGAGACTCCAACAACTTCAGACTTTTCTGTCTTTTCGCACTCAGGCTCTGCTCTCCCAGGCCCGCCCCAGGAGGAGACGGCCACCTTCCCTAGGTCTGCCGGCTGTGCTGAGACCCCCACCCGCTTGTCACCCTGGCCATGCACTTCTCCGTCCCAGAGACCCTCCCCCCAACAGACGCGCACATACACTCACCTGAGGCCATGCTGCCCGAGCCCGCAGGGGTACCGGGGAGGCTGCCCGCCAGGGTCTGCCCAGCAGAAGGAGGGGAGGAGGGCTGGGACCCAGATCCTGGCCAAGTCCCTCCGAGGACCCCTGCCCCCGGCACGGATATGGAAGAAGGAAGGCAGTCTTTTAAAAATGCCCGGAGGCGGGAGGTGGGCCCCGGTAGACCTCGGCCGCTGCACGGACCTTTCGCGAAGACCCGGGAGTCCCGACCCCCCAGCTCTCTGCTCAAGAGGCGAGTAGGCCACGTGCTTCCCAGAGAGCAGGACCCGGAACTCGTCTGAGCTTCTCTCCACACTCTTTGGGTGTTCGGGATCGGACTACCGAGGCTGGACTGCGGGGGTGTCACGCAACAGGTGCGACCCCACCAAAGCCTTGCTAGAGCCGAGGAGCTTCTCCGACGCCTGAGGCCCCGCCAGATCCGAGGCCCCGCCCCCGCCGCGTTCCGCTTCCCGGCGCCACGTGGGCAGCCGCTACTCCGCAGTTGGCCGGGCCAGGTCTTGGGCAAGTCATGTGCGTCAGCTTCCTCATCCGTGAAATGGGGTGGTGTAATCGCACTCAAGGGAGTTACTGGGAGCATTGTTAAGCACATTGTCGTGGTGCCTGGCATAAAGTCGGTGGCTAGTAAAAGACAACTAGTAGTGTCTCAAGATTAAATCACTTTTAGAAGTCCTACCCCGGCATTCTCACTCTAGGTCGTCCGTTTTCTTCTGACAGGCATAGATAAACAGGGTGTGCCCTACAACTCTGGCTCCCCTTCCCGCATTTACTTCTGTATTTATTGGTTGAAAGCTTAGACTCTGAAGACAGAATGCATGGGTTCATTTCCATACTCCTCCACCTACTTTGTGATTGACGTTGGTAAAGTTACTGGTCTCTGCTCTATTTCACTGGAAAATGACTGTGTGAGACCCTGCTTTGTATGGTGGTGGTTAAGATAAATGAGTTAATGTAAGTCAAGTCCTTAGAACAGTGCCTGGCCTGTAGTTACTATTCGGTTAATGTCTTATCCTGGCTACGTCCTTGGCCTTGGTTTCCTGTTGACAACCTCATACGGTCGTGATTCTCCTCGCAGCCTATAAAGAAGTGCAGTTTAGGCTGTTGGGGGGGACTGCAGACACCCCACCCAGCTAGCACTCCACTTCCAAGTGACAGAGAATCCTACCTAAAGGGAACTTGAGGGGGTGTGCCTAAGACCACTGGAATCTTCAGTGTGTTAGCAGCAATTAGTCTTTTTCCTATTTCTCCACCTTGTGGGAGCCCTTTGTCCCCCACACCCAGCTGTACTAATGCTGTTTGTCCAGCTCCTCCCAGTTCTCACCACCCCCACAGCCAGATTCCTTCCCAAACTCTTGCCTCCTCCACCTCTCCCCAGGCTGGATTCTGGACCCTGAGCCCTATTATCCCTGTATATCTGGTTTCACCTCTATTGATCTCTACCTGCTGCTCCTCACCATGGGCAAGCTCAAAAAACCATGGCCTCCACAGACCTGCGGGTGGGGGAGTTCACCTCACAAAGAAGCAACACAAGAAGGGAAATTCCATGTTTACCCATCAAATTAACAAAGATTAACGGGGAAAAGTCCTAACGCAGGCAAGGGGGTCGTGAGATGGGACACACACATACAGGTGGGCACCACGAGCAACATAACCTGTCTGAAGGCCATTTGGTAACACATAATCAAGCAGTTTGGGAAATGAAGGAGTGAGTTCATTATTACTTGACCCTGTAACTCCACTTTCAGAAAATGGTTGTGCTGAAAAGAGCTGCCAGAAAAATATGCACAAATTTGTCCATCACTGCAATGTTTATCACATAGAAAACCTGGAAACATTAAGGTCCAACAAAAGGGGATGTTTCAATTTTGTCAGATGCACACAGTGAAATACAACTATTAAAAATTGTTCTTGGAGGGCGCCTGGGTGGCTCAGTGGGTTAAATCCTCTGCCTTCGGCTCAGGTCATGATCCCGGGGTCCTGGGATCGAGGCCCGCATTGGGCTTTCTGCTCCGCAGGGAGCCTGCTTCCTCCTCTCTCTCTGCCTGCCTCTCTGCCTACTTGAAATCTGTCTGTCAAATAAATAAAAATAAAAAAAAAAAATCTTTAAAAAAAAATTGTTCTTGGAGAACTTCTTAATGAATATTTATATTCATTATAATATACAATATTTATAATGTAAGGCGTGGTTTAAAAAAATGAACGTAAAAATCTGTACATACAGTATGGTCCTAAATATGTGACATATATGCATAGAAAACAAACCACCAGAAGGTTTACAAGTGGTTATCTGTAGGCAGTAGAATGGGAAATTATATTTATTTCCTTCTTTATACTCATCTGCATTTAAAAAATTGCCTATAATGCATATCCATTACTTTTATAATCAAGGGCATAGAAAACAACAGATCTGTAATAGCCTCCACACCCCACCCCCACAGATTCTCCTGGGTCTTAACCCCAGAATAAATTGGTCTTGGGATCTTTAGGAATTTTGAAGCCATTATGCCCTCAACAATGAGTAACAAAATAAATCTCGAAATTAAAAATCAAGCAGCAAGTAACCATGTAGAAGGTCATCCATATTCTGACAAAATGCAAATTTTGACATAGTTTTAAGGGGTGGTATCTTGTATTGGGCTAGGTCTTATTAGGATTCCCCCTACCTACCTAATCAGCCCATAGGTGGCAATCCCTTCCCTCCTCCTCACACAGGCAAACCGGTTCACTGGTCCCTTCGTGCTCCTCCCCAGTCCCACTGCAACACACCCTTCACCTGGTAACCCTCCCCTATTTCCAGGCCATTTGGTACGCCATCCCTGCTTGGAAGTGTGTGCTGATTACAGCTAAGCATTGATCTCCCCACCTACACAACACCAGAAAAAATCTCAGCGGGGTTCACGGTCTACGTAGAACAGTTTGGGAAATGAAGGAGTGAGTCATCCCCCTTGGCCTCCAGCTTCTTAATGTTGTCTTTGAGCCTCTGGGATCTTCCCTAGCTCTAAACACAGCTTCCTCCCCTCCTACCCTATTCACCAGATGGTTCCTTTTAAATGGCCCTCCCTGAGCCCTAGGCCCCCACTTGATTCTCTGATGAATGCTTCTCTTAGATTCTGGCCTGCAGCCCACTGTGACGTCAGCTTCCCCCCAGGCCAGACCACTCTCTGTGGACCCTGGGCTTGGGAGGGAATGCCTGCAGACTCACACAGGTCCTTGGCCAGAACAGTGCCTCAAAGCATCCCCTATGCCCAGATCCTTCTCCAACCAAGCTGCTTGGCTCTTTATTTCTCAGCTTGCCCAGACAGCCCTGTCACCCCTGACCCCAGTCCCCCAACACTGTTTATAGCACCGCGCAGCAGTACCCAGCTGTACTTGTTTTTGTCTTCAAATGGTTTTAGCCACGCCCTGCCCTGCCACTCCAGGCCCTCACTGGCTAGCCCCAATGCTGCCCCTTCACCACCCTCAACTGGCCGATATATCCCATTTCGTCTTTCCTGAGCACAGTTTGCACTTCAGGCCTCCACGCCTTCTCTCATGCTTTCATCTCCCGAAAATGCCTTACCCCTATTTCTATGTTCTGCTTCTCTAATAAAAGTCTGTTCATTTAGTCACTTCCTCCTTTCTTCCACAGAATTTTTCAGTCTGACGGTTAAATATGTTTATAATTGTCTTGCCTATCAGAGGTGGAGGTTGGGTTTTTAACAGCTCTGAATTCTCCAGCAAAGCGTTCCTTTCATTAAACTGTCTCTCTATGAATTTACCTCTCCTCTTCCTTTGGACTGGAAGTCCTGAAGGCAGTTCCTCATTCGTGTGCCCCCAAGCCCAGCCAGGACAACACTTTACCCACAGTCCCCACCACTGAGGGTAAGACAGATCCTGAGATCTCCCCTTAGCCCAGGACAGGACAAAACTTGGTGGGAAATGGTGAGTCTTTTTCCACTCATTGGGTTATCAGGCTGTGAACCAGGACTCCTGAACTCTAGCTGATTCTAGCTTGTTTATTAAGGTGAGGATCATCTTTCTGTGCTTCTAAATACGAATAGCACCTACATGCTTTACGTACTCCACTAGGACACTGAATTCAAATTAATAAAGTAGAACAGCCACAGGAAAGGCACAGGAGCTGACGACGGAAGGCAGGAGGTCACTGGTGCCAGGATGGGTCAGCACAATTAGAGGCCAGGCATGGGTCAGGAGCTCCCTTACCAGCTTAGTAGTGGGAATGGGAACCCAGCAAACTAGGAAACAAGTAGAAGCAGCACAGAAGTTTGCAGGGGTGGTAGCTGAAAAAGGAATAGCTCGAACATTTTCCCTATGCATGAAACAAGTTCATGGTTCTTTTCAAAATGCAATCGCTACTGTTAGCAAGCTTATGCATTTGTCTTTTATGTCCAAGTGTTCTTTTACTGGCTGCTTATATGGGGGTAGTAGAAAGATCCCCTGATGTATCTGTTTATTAAGATTACCTGACCTTGAACAAGTTACTTAACCCTCAAGTCACAGTTATCTGGTCTGTAAACTGGTGACAGAGCACTTACCTTGAAGTTAGCATTAGAATGAACTGATATGAGCCACACAACTTGTCAAATACAGTTCCTGGCAGTCCCCTGCTCCGAACAGAGAAGATTTTGGCACAGCTCTGGCCTGGGTGTAGGTTACCAATATTGTGGGTAGGCTAGGGCAGGGCTAGGGAGGTATAATTACTGAAACTTTATAGCCGAGATTCCAAGACAGTCACAATTTCAAAGACACTCTCCTGTTTTCTCTTAAGTCAAGGAGCATTTGCCAAGTTTTGATTGGGAAAACATGATCACTATGGAAGGCACCTTGGCGGCTACCTACTTCTCCATCAGCCCTGAATGTCTGGGCTCCAGGCCCAGAGCTTCTCATCCAGATACTCAGATATGCAGCTGAAAGGCGGTGGGAGGAGGAAGATGCTCGTGCTCAGCAGCGGCTCAGGGCACCGAACAGGTAGGAGCCCCAGGTGCTACCTCCCACTTTTCCTTTCCCGGCCCAGTGGACAGGTCACTGCAGCACATTTCCACACTAAAAGGAAAGTACATGTTAAACCCTTCAAACTCAAGTTAAATCCTCAAGTCCTTGGCTGCACATTAGAATCACCTGCGGGAAATT